TAGTTCTTCTCTGTTTCTTTCTTCTCTTGTTCTCTCTTCTCAAGGTTTACTGGCTTTCTTTAAGGATATATTTGAATTCCTTTCTCTTTATTTTTTGCATATCTATTACTAGTTTTTGATTTGTGTTTAGCATTAGGTTTATATATAACAACTTATACATACAACAGTTGATGATCACTTAAGTTTGAACCCATTCTAAAAGCATTAAATTTTTACTCCTTTAAACACCACACATTTTAGATATATATTTCACATTTTTTTATTTGTGAATCTCTTGACTGATTTTTATAGATATACTTTATTTTACTGCTTTTATATTTCCTACTTTTCTTACTACTGCTTATGGTCTTTCCTTTCCACTCAGAGTCCCCATTAGTATTTCTTGTAAGACTGGTTTAGTGGCAATGAGTTCTTTTATCTCTGGGAAAGTCTTAATCTCTCCTTCTCTTCTAAATGACAGCCTTGCTGGATAGAGTACTCCTGGCTGCAGGGTTTGGTTTTGTTTTTCTTTCAGCACTTTGAATATATCATGTCAATCCCTTTTGACCTGCAAAGTTTCTGCCAAAAAATCAGCAGATAGCCTTATGGGGTTTCCTTTGTATGTAACTATTTTCTTTTCTCAAGTTGTTTTATTTTTTGTTTGTTTTATTTATTTATTTATTTTTTAACTTATTTTCAGCATAACAGTATTCATTGTTTTTGTACCACACCCAGTGCTCCATGCAGTCCGTGCCCTCTCTAATACCTACCACCTGGTTCCCCCAACCTCCCAGCCCCCCACCTCTTCAAACCCTTCAGATTGTTTTTAAGTAGGCTCCATGCCCTTGGAGCCCAATGCAGGGCTTGAACTCATGACCCTGAAATGAAGACCTGAGCTGAGATCAAAAGTCGGACATTTAATCAACTGAGTCACCTAGGTGCCCCAAAGATTTTTTTTTTTTTTCAATTTTTGACTAATCTCTAGACCCAGAGTGGGGCTCAAACTTGGAACACCAAGATAAAAAGTTGTGTGTTCTACCAACTGAGCCAATCAGGTGCTCTCTTGCTTTTGAAATTCTCTCTTTATCACTGTATTTTTCCATTTCAATTACTATGTATCTTAGTGTGGACCTCCTAGGGTTGATTTTGTTGGGGGCTCTCTGTGCCTCCTGCATCTGGATTTCTTTTTTCTTCTCCAGATTCAGGGGTTTTCTATTATTTCTTTAAATATATTTTCTGCCCCCTTTTCTCTCTCTTCTCCTTCTAGGATCCCTATAATGTATAGGGTATAATGTATATAAAGGTATAATGTAAATGTTATTGCATTTCATGGTGTCACTGGATTCCCTTAATCTATTTTTACTTTTTATTATTTTTTATTTCCTGTTCAGTTGATTGCCTTCCTTTACACTGTTCTCTAGATCACTGATCCATTCTTCTGCTTCCTTTAGTCTACTACTTATTCCCTCTAGTGTATTTTTAATTTTAGTTATTGAGTCCTTTGTCTCTGGCTGGTTGTTATTCATTTTCTATCTCTCTCTTTTTTTTTTTTTTTTTTTTTGAGGTTCTCACTGGGGTCCTCCACTCTTTTCTCAAGTCCAGTATCTTTATGACCACTATTTTAAATTCTTTTAAATTCTCTAGCAGACATATTACTTATCTCCATTGTGTTTATCTCTCTTGCTGTGATTTGTACTGTTCTTTCATTTGGGACATAGTCCTCTGTCTCCTCATTTTGTGTAAGTCTCTGTGTCTGTTTCTATGTGTTGGGAAAGTTATCTATGTCTCCTGCTATTGCAAGTAGTAACCTTGTGAAGAAGAGGTCCTGTATTGCCCTGCAGTACAGTGTGCCCTGTGCACCAGAACCTGGTGTCTCAGGGGTGTCCCCTATGTGTGTTGTATATGCCCTATGGTTGTGGTTGAACAATTTTTGCCTTTGGTCCAGTCATCTGCAATGGCTCTGTTTGCCTATTCTGGACAGGGTTTGGTCCGAGTGCTGTTAATGGGCCTGTCTGGGGCCTCCTTGGGCTTGAGTTGAGTCAGACCAGTGTTTACCAGAGATGAAATAGCACCAAACTACTGGGTGCTTTCTCTGTGTTGTCCTTTAAGAAGCTTTCATTGGTAGGTGGGACCTAAGGTCAGACCAAATGTCTGCTGGGGCACAGTCAGACTGGTGTGTGTGGTTATCTTTTCCTCTCCCCAGGAAGAAGTCACTTTAGAGTGGCGATGGTCCCTATCAGGGCTGCTTGCACACTAACACAATTGTGGTACTACTTTGGAAGGACCCCTGCCAAGGGCAGGTCTGCAGGACAATGTGGGGGTGGGGCCCTAGGTGTTAGTAAGGTTTGTGCAGGTGGGCTGTGGTCAAGGACCTGTGGCTGCTTTGAAAAACTTTTGCTGATGCTGATTTAGAAGGGGGAAGGTATGTAGGAGAAGGAGTGGGTAGGGTTTGTGGTATTAACACAGTTTGTGCCAGTCCACTGTGGTTAGGGACCTTGAGCCACTTTGGAAAATTCCTGCCATAGCCATGATGGAGGAAGCATGTCCACAGGAGAACAATGGAGTGGGACATGCTGTTAGTAAGTAAGCTAGGGGGAGCGTTGGCACTGTGCAGTTTCCCACAAGTGTCCATGTGTCTGGGCTATGGGGAGAGGAAGGAAAATGGCACCCATCAGCTCTCTTGTTCTTGAAGGAGCCTCCCAAAGATCCCTGCCCCTCCAGCAAATGCTCTGAGATTAGTAAACAAATCTTCCTCTTGTATACTCCATGAGTTTTTCAAACTGCTGCTCCTATGCTATATCTCAGAGGGATTGTCATGCTGTCTCTTTAAGGTCAGGAACTCAGTTTCCTATCACCCTTCCAGCTCTCCTAGAGACAAGCGCACGATTTTTAATGTTCCACGTGTTAAAACCCACTTATTGTAAGAACTTGTGAAGTTAACCCGCTCTAGTTTTCAAAGCCAAATACTCTAGGAATTTTTCTTTCCAGTGTGAAGCCCCTGTGCCTGAGGTGCCTGGTATGGGATATGCTCCACTCCCCTTTCTGTGCCCATAGCATCCCTTGCTCCCAAGAACAGTCACAGGTCATCTTGGCTCCCAACTGAAGGCAGCTTATAGAATTCTACAATTAGAAGACGCCATAGAGAGCATTATACCAACCACTTTCCAGATGAGAGAATTCTAAGCCAGGACCACACAGCTAGTGAGTAGCAGAATGAAACTAGACTTCAAATGTCCTCACATCAAGCAAAGCACATCACAATACAATTCCGCCTCCCTTGATAATGTTAAGTTGCCTAGCAAACAAGGTCTTCATAGGTGATGCAAAGATAAACTTCCTCTGAATCTGCTCCAAGCAAATAAACGCAATTTTGGAATTAGGAAAATCCAGTTAATGTTGACATCATTATCCCTCCAAGTTGTCTAGGGTGGGACAGACAACTTGGAAGAAACTTAACACAAGTCTCCCATATCTGAGAAACATGACAAGATAAGGGATTTATTATTGTTATTGTTACTTATCGTTAATAGTGAGAAATGGCATGTTAATCAGGAAGGAACAGATTATGGCTGTCATTTTTTTTCCCTAAAAGGTAAATAGTTAATATGTAAATTACGTCCACAAGAACTTTTTATTTTTTATGATCCTATCCATCAGTTTGCTCTCTAAGTGAGGTCTCAGGTTAAAATAGCTCCTAAATGAAAGGTTACTCTAGATATTAAATATTCCATGGAGCAAACCCAATATTCCACTTTTTTGGAGTGCTCTACTATTCTCACTTCCTGGATGGCCACAAATAGCTTTTTGAATCTGGACCTGTTACAGACACTAGTGAAAGAAAACAATAGTAGAGGATAAAATTTGGAAAAGCCCTCATAGATTTAAGCTTCCAAGCACACCAGCAAAACTGATATCTAATAATTTAAGCAGACCTTCTCAGTGACTTAAGTTGACTTTAACAACCCTGCTTCAGGGGACTTGCCACAAAACAGTACACGAAGAAAGGGATCCCAAAGAGAAGAGCCTCTTCTCTAGCCACACACAACCAGATTAGGTCTGAGATCCTGGTACCCAAAAGCTAACAAACAACAGAAAATAATTTATGTGCTTCTGGAGCTATTTTCTTTAGGGTGACATGTTTCACTCCTACCCAGCAAAGTGGCAGAAGCCACTGAATGTTGCTTTGCACGTTCCTTGTCTTTAGACTGTCCTTTTGCCAAACATTAAATGCCCTTTTTCTGCTATAAAACATATACTGAATTGCCACATTATTCTCCCTGACCCTGTGGGACCACAGTACAATATCATAATGTCAAACTGGGTCTGAAAAGAGCTTTGTGTGGGATGAGACAAGAGTCTAAAGATAGAAGAGCTGCTGAATCACTTGGGGTATGACCACAAATAGTGCTGTGATCAGCTTGCTGGGTAAAGCTGGTGTCAGAAGTCCCTGGTAAATCTCTGAGCTCATTATGGAGGGTGGGAGGCTGACCTTGGAAGCAACTTGTACTTAACACAGAGATGAGGAAGCCTGAAGGGAAAAAACCCAATTTGCAAACCCTAATAAATAACATTTAAAATTCGCTGATTTAATAAAAGCATGCTATCATATGACAAGATGGTTTTCCTTAGGAGCAGGTGCATTTCAATTTTTTTTTTTTTTTTAAATATTATATCTTCAGAGACTTGCACGATAGATGGCAGCCTGGAAATACGCTGATGTGTCCTGGCAGAATTTCAGACATAATTATTTTTTTTTTCCTTTGTAAACCTTCCATCAGTGGGAAGGCAAGCCCTGCCAAAACTGAGGAACCCAAGCTGGAGGCAGTAAGGCTCCACCACTCAGACTGTGGCCAAGTGCCAAGACTTCAAGGCCAAATCGGAAACAACCACGTTGAGTTCATTAAAAGGGCTGAATGATCAAAGGCGTGCAAGCCTTCACAAAGGCAGAAATTAATCTGTTTAATACTTGGCTAAATTCTCATCTGTTGAAGTAAATTTGAAATGAAATTTATCAAACTCACCCTCTTCCTGTGGAAAAATCCTTTGAATTTCTCAGAGTGTCCAGGAGGTGGCAGACGCGTCCTTCGTTTCAGTTTGCGGAGTGCCACTAGAGCTCTGTCCCTAAAAGTAAGATGAATGGGCTTTATCTGGGTATAACTACGAATAGGTTGTAAATACGTATCTCTACGATATCAGGACTTATATTCGGAACTGGGTAGGCTGAACTCTACTTGGCAATCTCTTTTTGAAGGACGAAATGATTCTTATCCCAGGAAATGGAAATGGTTAAGAATCCGTAAACAAAGCTTGGGCATCAGTGAAAAGGTCAGGTGAAGAACTCCAGCCCAACAACTCAGACCCTTGTTTATATACCTGTTGCAGCCTCCCTGAGCCCGAACTCTCCCACCACGCCTACCCCTCGTCTCCCTGTCCTTCAGTCCTTGTTAAAGACCTGCACACACATTCCTGAGCCATCAGAAACCTGTGGCTTCACTGTGGAACTAAAGAAGTTGAAAGATGTACAGGGAAATTCCCTTGTGCAACAACTCCTAGCCTCTCTTCAACCTGCCTCCTCTGCGAGGGCAACCTACAAAACCAGAGGTTCAGCCACTGCCTTGAACGTTATGAATATTAATTCCTATCGCATAAGCCAAAGCTGGTGGAAGATCTCTGGTTCCTCTGTTTCCTGGGAGGACAACATGTAAAGTATTAATACAGTCAGTCCATCATGAGAAGCACAACTCATTAAAAATACATAGAAATTCATGAAAAGTCTTCCACTGTTTATTTCATGAAGTGAAAACATTTATTCCAACCAGATCAAAGGAGTGGGGGAAGCATGTTTTCTATAGCTCCAATTTCACACACCCTAGTATGAAATGAATCAATAGTAGCTAGGAGGAGCGAAATCAAAGATTTCCTTTTCAACAGTAATAAATTCAGTCAAGCCCTATTTGGTATGGCACTTGACATGGCTTGTAAAATCTGAAATTACTAAATTATGTATTTCAATAGTAATCCCTTACAAAATTAATAGGAAGTGCTAAATTAGGACGAATGGCCTCCAATGGGATCCAGATGCTTAACCCTAGACTAGGTAGAAAGTGTGAAAAATTAAGAACTGTACTGATTTTTTTTTTCCCCTGAGTTTCGTGAAGGAGCCAGTTCTTCAAGCATGGAATGTAAACACTTGGGAAGGTAGCCTAAGAGAAGCATGTGTTATGTAGCAGCCTGAGTCCCAGCTGTGTTTATACTAGGATTCCAAAATATCTGAGCCTGGAAAGAGAAGTGGTAGTGTGAGGAGGGACAGAGGAGCCTGCTGGGAGACACTGAACCCCAGGGCAAAGAAAAGCTCGTTCAAGACACATGGGGAAGGGGGTGCTTGTTGATAGAGTGCTTGTCATTCAGCTTACCTTGTAACCCCCTTCCCAGACTCACATCTGATTCCCATGGGGATAGAGAAAAACCCAGAAATATGCCCACATTATTGGTCCCCTTTGCAGTGATGGCTACGTTGATGGTGATGGCAACAATAAGACAGCAGTGGCCTTGGCAACGTCAGGGTCAACAGCACCACGCTCCACCTTGGAGACTGGTGTATCCACAAAGACATGGAGCCCATGGGACACCTGTAGCACCGCTGCTGCCCTTGCCACTGGTGGGAGTGACTAAAGCCACGTTACGGGGACCCAGTGTAAGAAGAAGAAAATAATAGAGCTCTGTTGTGACCAAGAGAACTAGTTCTCAGAGTACTGGTTATGGTTAGCTGAAGAGTCAGCTAAGGATTCTCATGTCCTAATTTCCAGAACCTGGGAATATGTTACCTTGCGTGGCAAAAGGGAATTTGTAGATGTGGCTTAGTAAAGGATCTTGAGAAGGGAGGTTTCTCCTGGATAATTTAGGTGGGCCTCCTGTAATTACAAGGGTGCTTATATGGGGAAGGCAGAAGAATTGGAATTAGAGGAGATTTGCCACCAGAAGCAGAGGTCAGAGAAAGATTTGAAGGTGCTGTACTGCTGGCTTTGAAGACGGGGAATGGGACCCCCAAGTCCAGGAAAGCAAATGGCCTTTAGAAGCCAGGGAAAGACAAGGAAACAGGTTCACCCTTAAAGCCTCTGGAGGGAGCCTGGCTCTGCTGACCCGTTTTAGACTTCTGACCTCCAGAGCTGTAAGATAATAAATGTATGTGGTTTTCAGCCACTAAGTGTGTGATAATTTGTTACAGCTGCAATAGGAAAATAATACACTAGTGATACACCCCCCTGAGAGCCTTCAGAATCATTTGTGAGAACCAGGAGGTTCAAATTCCCATGGAACAAACAGAAGGTCTAGGAGCCATTCTTATTCATGGTGTGTGTGAGTAGGAGGATGCGGGTTAGAGCAGGGTAGAGCAGGTCCATGGTCTGCTTTTACCCTCCATGTCTCTCCTAGGCAGGACACTTTCTCTTAAATTTCACCTTGGATCTTCATTCAAATCATCAGCATCTTTATTCTGCAACACTTGAAAGATTTCAAACCAAAACATGTGTTACTTTGCTCCTCCCCGTTTTCTTCCAGAATTTCTGAGAGGCAAGTCAGGCCACAATCCCCTCCGAGTACCACATCTACTTGTAAATGAGTTCCCAAGTCACTTCAAACCCTGAGAACAAATCCCATCCTTGTCTTTTGGATACTAATAATGTAGCATTTCTCAGTCATTTGCTCTAAATTTCAATTCAACCCTAAAAAGCATTCTGCTAAAAGACATTCTGGAAATGTCTTCAGAAATTGGCCCTATGACTACAAAAGAAATCCAGCCCACCCACCTAGGGTTCAAGATTCTCTTTCCAGCCAGGTCACCATTAAAGATGGAGGACTATTTTTCAGGGCCCAGAAAGTATTTGAATTGGCTGTATTCATCCAGTACATTCTGCCAAATGAATCAGTTGTTTCTTCCCCAAAATCAAATGCATCCTAGATCTGAAAAATATATACAGCCTTCCTATTAATAATCATTGCAGTACATTTTACTTATATCCAATTCTACTGTCTCTGATAAAAATAGAGATCAGGGAACACAGAAAGGATAGTAAATAACAAATTATTTTTAAACTTTATTTTATCTATGATATAATGTCTCAATCCCTACACAAGACCTATGAACAAGAAGGAAAAAAATAATGAATTTTTTCAAATTCCTTTTATTATTTTCCCTTACCACTTTTTGGCAGATTTGTCAGAGAATATAAAAAGAAATAATCGTAAGAGAAAAGCAAAATAAACCATTGACCATGATGTTCAAAGGCTGGGCACAACCTGCTCCATGAACCATTCCAGCTGAACTTGTCCTCTGAACAAGTTATACAACGTTGGGCAAGTCACAAACTTTCTGGACTTCTATCTCTTCAGCATTCCTCTGTAGGACTTCCACGCTCACTTTAATATTAATATCTGCCAGTTAAATTATTTAACATTTATCCTTCACATTTTTAAGTGTAAATTGGAGGCAAGGAAATGCTCCCCATTTACATGAGAGGGTCAAGTGTTCCACTAGGGAGGCAAATATTGAAGTTTGAAAAGCATAGGCCTGTAGACTTGTTACCACCCTGGGCCATCTCTACCACCACAGGTACCCGTTTGCTATACATTCCTATCTTCATTGTTTGGGTTTGGTTCTTTTCATTTTTTCATCTCCTATTTCCTTCACCATTTGGAAGTGCCCTCTTCCTCCAATTTTCCCACCTTTTAAGCTTATGTCCACCTCCTCCAGAAAGCCTTCCCTGACCACAGATGTCCAAAGAAATCCTTCTCTGTGTCAAATTTATGGTTCTCACCCTATGTAGCATTCAGTGGAATATAATTATATCTTCCATATGATATCTTTTATTATTACTTAACATTTGTATTATTTTTCTTGTTCTTTATGTCTCTGATCTTCCAACTATATCATAAACTTCCTAGAGATCAGAGGTCATGGAAACTACTGTTTCATATCCCCACAGCCTCTAGATCTGCACTTGGCACATGAGGAACATTCATTTATTCATTATTTATCCATCCAACATGTACTTGTTAAATTATGGGCCAATTCTTAATTATTGAGGGAATGAGAAGCAAAATGACTCAATCTAAAAATGGAATAATTCCATTTTCAATAACTCAGAATTGACCCTTCTCATTTCAGATTTGCTGTTTCTTAACATTAGAGGGAAATTTTTCCATTGGCAAATATAAACTGCAAATATTCTAAATTGGCTTCAAACATATAATGGCTGTGCATGTTCTTGTCATTACCATTGACACAAAGTGCTACAGGTTAATTAAGTGCCTACAAGAACAGGTATTGTAGACTTACAAACTGCAGAAATTACCAAGACTATCAGAGTAAAAATAACACTCCCTACAAGTGTTCAATTGCTAATCTACACGTTAAATGGCAACATACTTGCTTTTATTTAATCACATTATATCTTTATGGAATATAGGTGTGTGCTTGCTCTGTTCCTTCAGGGGCAATAAAGTGGAGGCCTTTGCTCCACCTTGTAATCAGAATTAATGGCTACCTGCCATTCTTCCCATAAATCTCAAGTTTCAAGCATTGTAACTGAGCACATGAAAATCGTATTAAATCCAGAGTTACCATTAAAATTGTTAAGCCAGATGCTATTTTAATACATATCAAAGTGGATTACGTTCATTAAATAAATTGTGTGCCTAAGGATGGAAGTCCCCAAATAGTCTTAAGGTTCATTCCCATTTTTTCCACATAGACTACATAAAACAGGCTCTATATCACATGTAAACACATTTACTTCATTTTATACACCGCTGCCTTTTGTTAATTCCCCCACGTAGAATAATTTCACTTTAGATCATAACTAATGGGAAGGGTTCTGAGTGGTAAGTGTAATTGTAGAACCTTGATCAAACGCCACCTGGTGGTCAGATAAATATTTTTTCTACCACAAAGCTTGGCTGAGAAGGCTGTCAAACTGTGTTATTGGTAATTACTAAAAATAAATCATTACAATCAATAATACTTTATTAATGCTTAATCTGGTGGAATATTGAGCAACCAGAGGATATCGGTTGATATTGGTTCAAATCTCAGCTCTCGCTTTTTGGTTACGCATTTCTTTACC